TCTTCTTATGAAATCCATGGGCATTGATAAGGTGAGCTTTGCATGTATTTTGTTGTTTGTCTTTTTCTCTTTATAAAGTTTCATATTGGGGTCTATATGGCAGCTATGTCAGCTAATTTTTGTTGAGTTAATTTTTGTGGATTGTATGACACACACATGTTTGTTTTGTAACATTTTTTTTTCATAAGCTCCTGCTGATGCATATTTATGATATGGATCATCATTAATTCTATTAATTATCTGAATTCTGTACGAGGCTAATGTTCATTTTTAGCGTTTCATTATTACCCCTCTAGGAGATGCAGCATGTATAACTCTGGCTTTACAGAGTCGAATATTTTATCACTTGGTCCGGTTGTAGTTAGTATTGTCCATTTTGGTAATGGGCATAATCATTGATCTGTAAATGGGCCTTCTGATAAGGTTCGCTAAAGTTTTAGGTTTTAAGGGACTAGTCTACTTGATCTGCATCAACTTTTTGTCCTGTGAAAATTGAAGTTGTTCAGCAGTGATAATGTTATAATCGTCATTTTATATGATGGCAGCTCCAAATGCATTGAATGTGCCCAGGTTTGTATGGAGATTGCGGCTCCATGTATATCTTTTCTAAATGGATGTTGGAGTACTTTCATGGTAACAATAATAAAACTTCCCATTGGGCTTCAGGATTCAAGGCATGTGGGTTGGTGTGGTGCACATCAATCAGTTTATGTTCATTTCATGTGACCGGAATAAGTTGCTTTCAATCCAACCCTTTCACCACCATCTGTAGTGGACCCAACCCAGCAAAAGGCCATGGGTATCGTATTACTACGTATGCACCCTATCTTGCGGTTTTCCATTTTGGCTGTATGGCTTTGGACCAGGGATCTGAAAATAAAGTTTCTTCTTGTTCTTCGGGTTTCTGAAAATAGGTAAATTCTTTATGATAATTAATTGAAAAACATTTTGTTTAAGTGTTGATTAGCTCATAATTGCGGATAAATATTCTTTTTTTGTCAAGGCAAAAAAGAATTTTATTTCATAAGAGGTAGGTCCATTATGGGACCAAAGATAAATCTGAAACTTTGCCCAAAGATGGGGCATTCTCCAAATATTTATTTAAATTCACGATTGATTTAAACTTTAGATGAGTGCTAGAAATGATGGTCACACAGCACTTGGGAAGCAAGAAGACAGGTTGATCTTGATGGTTTACCTCTTAGTATTTATCCTGAGTCCTAACCCATTTTCGGACAAAGTATCGTTTTATCGTTGCTCGTTGGCTTCGAAAGTCCAAAATGTGTCGCATCGTTTGCACACCTGCTTTAGAAATTTGACTAAAATTTCTGTGGGCGAGAGGCTAGACTCCGCCCCGGCAAAACCATCTCAATTACAAATTTGACGTGGAATGATCCTGTAATTAAATCGTATACCTCGTGGTTCATGAATTAATATGGGCTCCACCTAGTCAAAAACTATCATCATTTTTTCCTCAATTACCAAAACAGTAATTTCCATGTCAATTTTCTACGATTCTTTCATACTTTCCTTCTTTTATATATGCATCTACTCACAATCAGCATTACATAAGTTATACATATACTCACTTCAACACATGAAATATAATATTATATATTTAATTATGAAAATTGCATAGGAGTACTAAAGCATAAATAGCATCCTATAACTTTATTTTATTATTGTACGTATTTACACTTTTTCGAAATTTTAGGTCCGAGCCATCTTTCGACCCAATTAGCTGACAACGTGATGTAATCCTCACTAGTCATAAATGGAGATGCTCCAAAATCCAACCCAATCTGGACGCTTCATCACCAAAATTAATTCACACGTGCGATGAAGGTCTTCAAAATATAAATGTACTCCTACGACACTAAAAAGAAAAATCCAAGTCGGGTTCCGCACGTGTAAGCCTTTCCTTCGAATTCGTGTGTCGCCTACTCTTTTCCGTGAAGCCTTTTCGCTTTTGCCTTCCTCCACTTTCCACCTCCCTCCTTTGTTTTTTTAATCTATTATTATTTTTTTACAGTTGCTTCTCTCCCAGTTGCAACTTTAACAGCATCAAAGGAAAAAGCTCAAAAGGGAGAGCTCTGTCTCTCGTAAAATGGACAGCTTCGATCACACGCCTGACCGCTGCAGCTAATCTATAGCTTCCAACTTCATCTTCTCTAGCTTGGTAATCCATTTATGTGTCCATTATTTTTCTGCTTACAACCTATTTCTCTGTAGATTAGCTTTTAAAGATTTAAACGTTTTTTTATGTAAGAAAGATTATATTTTGATTATGTAATAAATTCTGGTTAATCAGTTTCAGGCTAGATTGCTTCAAGACGGGTATTCTCTTTCTTTTATTGTCTGCGTGGTTTGAGAGGTTTTTCTTGCTTAAGCTGTGTTTGGTTGGAGGGAAAATAGTTTCTTTCTCGAGAGATATAATTTTCATTAATTTAGTGATTAGGCATGTCACCTTTGGGAAAGACTTTAAAAACAAATTCTCTTCGAAGAGGCTAATGTGTTCCCTGGCTTTTTTTTTTTTTGT